CGGAAGTAGCGACTCCGTGCCGCGTGTAGCCACGCGGCACGGGGTTCGAACTAGCCAGGATTTAAAAATGGCGGCTCCCAGTTTATGCAAATGAAGCCCGGGAAATTCAAATCCCGGGCTTCATTTGCAAGTGCGGTATGCCTACATTACCCTCCTACTTCGAAATAGGAGGGTAGTGTAGACATACCCTAAGTTGCTTTCCTGAATATATTTTGCAATACAGTTCTAGAATGGCCTGCTTGAATTAACAGTTATGTTATAAGACTCTCAATAAATGTGTTACAAGTCTGATTTCTAGGGCAATACTATTTGAATTTTTCCAGGTGAGGAATATCATGAATGAGAGTGAGAATGAGAATGAAATCCCACAAGAAGAGGTGCAAAATTCCTGTCGTTTAGACCTCAGAAAACCTCCTATTGCAACTTCCTGTGGATCTCCTTCTGTGGTACAGCTATTCGGTCTAATGTTCATTACTGTAATAATATTGCATTTCCAATGCATTGAAACCTGATGGTTCAAAAGGGTTATTGAATACACATACCCAAACAACATTACATGTAGAGTGAACTGCAATGCAAGTGGATAAGTCTTCTGCTTAGCTACAAAGTTGTACCTCAAAGATGTGTTAATAATATTAAACCTTTAGCCATAATTTCTAAGAACCTCCTACATATGGTAAAGATTACTTTTTCTTAAGTGCTTAGATAGCAATGTATGACATTCTAAGGGCATGATTCTGCTTAGTGCTGAATACTCTTGGATCCACTGATGTTGAAGGAAGCTGGTAATGCCCAGTACCTCAGGTCGGATTCTATGCCATGTGCAAGGCCCGTGGTTTACAGTTTTTATTTTGTTTAAAATTCCCTGGAAAGTTTAGTGTTTATTACAGTGGTCTTTAACCTTTTTAATCACAAGATCGCTTTTTCAATTTAAGTGCAATGTAAGATCTACCTCAAACCCAAAGATCCTTGCCCAGCTTCCTTCTTCCCGCGCTCCACCCCTTCTCCGAGGCTTCATCCTACTCACTCCATCCCCCTTCTTCCTTGAATCTCACTCACTTTTCACCAGGCTGGGGTAGGAGGTTGGGGTGCAGGCTCTGGTCTTGGGCCAAGGGGTTTGGAGTGGGGCGGGAATGCCCTGAAGGTAGGGAGGTGGGGGTGGGTTCTGGAGTGGACTAGGGGATACAGCATTTGCCGGGGGAGCGCAGTGTTGGGGGCTTGAGTCCTGCCCCTGTTCCACCCATGCTGGGAGCAGCAGGACAGCAAAGACAGGCTGCCCCAGTGTTGGAGCTGGCTCCTGCATTTGGGAAGGAGTAGGGACCCGCTGGAGGTGGGGTGGGATCTCCAGTGAACTGAGGGATAGGGCATCAGCCTTTGGAGCACAGGATTGTGGGCTTCATCCCGCCCCCCTCCGCACACTCAGGCAGTGGCTGGGGGGGGGGCTTCCGCATTAGGAAAGCAGAGTAAGGGCCCTTCTGAGGTAGGCTCTGGAGTATCCATGGGGCTAGGGTATTTGCCTGAGGAGGAGAGCAGCAAGGTTGTATGCTCAAGTCCCACCCACCCTGGGAGCAGGAAGACAGCTAGCTGTGCCACAGATGGAGCAGTAGAGTTAAGGTAAGCTAGTCTGGCCCTGTACCACTCCTGAAAGCAGCTGGCATGTACAGCAAGTGGCTCCATGTGCTGCCCTCATCTACAGGCACCAACCCCACAGGTTCTAATGGCACTTCTCCATTATTGATCAATGGGAGCTGCAGGAGTGGTGCTGTAGGCAAGGACACCATGTGGAGATCCCTTGCTC